TTGTTTTTGTTCAAATTCTTTCTCATTTCCGGAAATTGAAAATTATGGAATTGGCTTTTCAAATAGTTTTCTTTATTACAGAAAAGCTCACAACATGATGACTCTAATCTTGGCGGCTCAGATGGTGGTTCTGTAAGTGATACAAATATCTATGATACCTTTACTTCTCTTTTTGCAATTTGATAAATTGAAAGTGATTGTTAAATTCTTTACATATAGGTACATAAAAAGTGGTCCCTTATGGACATCACTGCAACAGAACAATATTGCTCAGTTTGCTCATCTTTTTTGAAAATCATAACAAATTTTTTTTAAGAGATTTTATGACCTGGTAACTAAAACCTTTTATTCATGTCTTAATTTCGGGTATATTCTTATTCTTATGAAAAATGATAATATGGAGTGAAATAAAATGAAATGAAGATGATTAATTTGGGACATTAATCAACTAGGAAGAAATTATATGATATGATATGGGATGAAATTTAATCTCAGAAAAATTGTGGTCATTTACTGAGATTTTTTCAGTGGGCTTTTTGGAGGACCCCGAGAAGTGACGTCCTGCGGCTTTGTTTCATTTTCCCACATTTGTGTTTGTGCACTTTTACAGATATTAAACAGTTAATAAACCACTGCTATTACACATTTAATCCTGAAGAAACACTAAATAGACAAAATGAAACAAATCACACAACTTCACTCCTCGCGTTCCCGCCAAAAACTCCAATCATAACAATAGTTTCAGAAACTTACAGATTATACAGATTATATTAACTTGCAGATTATACATGCTTTTTTAGTAATTTTTTTCATTAATCCATTGTTTTTGTTCAAATTCTTCCTCGTTTCCGGAAATTGAAAATTATGGAAATGGCTTTTCAAATAGTTTTCTTTATTACAGAAAAGCTCACAACATGATGACTCTAATGATGGCGGGTCAGATGGTGGTTCTGTAAGTGATACAAATATCTATGATACCTTTACTTCTCTTTTTGCAATTTGATAGAAATTTGATAAATTGAAAGTGATTGTAGTATCTACATA